CCACCATATTCTCCAGATATGTCACCAGCAGATAACGACCTTTTTCATTTGCTGCAACACCATCTTAATGGGAAAACCTATGCAAATATGAAGGTATTAAAGAGGACATCATCATGTTTTTTACTTCAAAGCCAAGTGATTTCTTTAATCAGGGCATTAACAACCTGAATGTAAGATGGACAAGCATCATCAATACATTTAATGTTTTGATAAATAAGGTGTTTGGGTTTTTTCATGTAAAAAAAAGCTACATCAATTTCTTGATGACCTAATATAATGTCAGAGGAAAGAAAAGTACTGAACATTAACTCTGCTGCAGATTTAACTAAGCTGATAGAAGGAATTATCAATAAATATATTTGGAGAATTATTATTGCAATTGTATAAGTGAAATTATGTTTGAAAGAATATCTTGGGTTAACTTCGTTGATACCGTGTTCACTGTAGTTTCAAAGTTAATGAATATAACAGAAATTCTAACTTATGAACATATTGGCATTCATAATGAAGAGTTTAATAATTTTGACATCGAACCATTTCCAGATAATTTTGGGAACTTTGATGTAGACATGTATATGAATATGCTGTACTAGAATTATTTTGTGTTTATATTAAACAGTCTCTGAGTGAATATCTTTATTCCACACATAAACCTCCTCGGGTTGATGGCTTGTTTGTTTTATCCATGACAATATAACCTGGCATTAAACAAATTTATTTGTAACTCGTGCAGAGTCAAACCCAAACGATTATGCCCATAGCTGTCCAATACAGTTACATCATATCTCATTTTTGTACAGATTTGATATATCTTTGAATTATCATGTAATACAATGCCTTTGAAAATTTTAGAGAAATTGTTAAATGAAATATTGTGACCCGTGGTTTTAGAATGTGAACGAATGGATGAGTGGCTGGGTTTAAGTAGTGGGTGGTTGGTTCTGTTAGATACTCCTAAATGTTCACAGACTCTAGTTTTTAAGTGCAATTTCGCTTTGCTAACGTACGTGACTTTACAGCCATGAACGTAAAATTTGAGATACTTGAGGGTAGAAGTGTTTTATTAGGGAAGATAGAGTTTTGTGACATTATTTATATTAAAGTAATTGGTGGTATAAATATACGTACCTTGTTAGAGAGATCAATGGAATGTATTATGTTCTACTATGCCTTCCTGCTGTCCATTAAAAACAAAAATCACAACCACAAAACATATCTTGTTAAGGGAGGCAGATGTAGCCATTGCTGTGAATGTGCAGGTAGCCAACAAATTAGTCTTTACATTAGGTTTTGTGTTTTGTATTGAAAAATTTCCAATGAAATAAAAACATGTTTATATTATGAGGAAAAATAGTTAGAAAATAACACTGTTAGCTAACCTATAACCAAGTCTCAGAAAAGTAACTACTGCACACTTTACTGGTCAGTAACAATATATAATTACACTTTTTACCATATGAAGGCACACCTAATTTATATTATTTTTATGTGCTGTTGCTATTGGACAACATTAGCTGAAAGGCAATGATGTGCATATTTATTTATCATGATTTCAGAAAGTTTCTAAATTTCCTGAGTGCAGTCATTTTATTCTCAAATGAGCAAGGTGTTTTGATTGAGTGTTATTTTAACTTTGAAATGGGTTGACAAATAATACTTTAATGGTTACTTTACAAGAAAACTTCTGAACAGTATGAAAAATTGTGAAAACTGTAAATTTGCTAGTTCTCACACATAAAAAGGGAAGGGCCGAGTAGAATTTCAGGGTTGTTCTATATTAACTTCTGTTTTTAGTAATATGTTGGAATCTGTTGTTACTGAATATCTTCTTAAACAAATACCTCATTTATAACATTGGTTTGGTATACTTACTATAAGAGCAATGTGAAAAAGTTGGAATTCCAGACATAACTATGTTATTTCTCAAAATACTTAATGTATGAACTACCTTACCCAAATATGGTGTATGTACCAGTAGTTTACATTGTTGTTACGTTTTTGTTGTTATATTGATATAAAAGCTTATTTTTAAGTGGGTTGCTCAGTTCTTAAATTTTGAATATTTCTTAAGGAGTATCAAAATAATGACTTGTTAGTATGTTTACACGTTACGTGAACAGTACTTATAATTATCCTATAATTTTAGTTAGATTGATAAATGATAAAACTTTCACATATAATTTCTTAGGTATTCTAGGTTACTGTTAACTAAGAATCAAATATGTGTAACAGAAAAACAAACAAACATTAAACCAAAATTATCTCACCTTTTTCATAATAGCGTATGTCTGAGCATTTTTTGGGGCATACAAGATTTTTCCTCTAAGGATAGGCTTAAGGAAACCCCATACAATTGGACCTCCTGTCATTCTCATGACCTGTTCATAACCTTCTTTACAAAATTGACCTGTTAGTGGGAAAAAGAATCAATTATAACAGGTGTGGACTGATTTTCCTTGAAATAAATTTTTAAGTGTCAAACATTTATTTGAATATGTGATAACTTATCCAACTGAGCTAATACACATAATTGTAGCCAAGAAAATAAAATATAGAAATATACTCTCATGTATTTCTGACATTATTTATTTTATCATTTTAGTATTTTTCTTCATAACAAACTTTTTTGTTAATATGTTGAAAAATTAGCAAAAAACCTGCTTACTTGGTAGTTCTTCAACTTCATGAACACTGAGCTGTGGTTCTCTCTTTGCTACATGAAGCAAATGAAACTCATCCTGCAGGGTACGGAGAGGGTTGCCACACAGGATCTCACCAGCAGTATTCAACATCTCTGGAGCTAAACAAAAAAAATCTTATGTTGAGAAATATAACATGTGGCTAAACACAACAGAACAAATAGAAAGATAGCACAAAAAAAAAATCAGGCATTACGCACAAAGCATACATTTTTGAATATACACTTGCAGACAAATCCTATCTCTTTATTTTAACACTCCATTTTTAAATGGAGTTCAATTAGTTTGTTAGCATTTGCATGCTAGATATATGAAATTTGAAATTTAATGATTTAGAATTAGTTTTTAAGCAAAACTTATTGAGCAACACAGGAGAAATACTCTTTAATATTAAAGTGTATGCAGTTTACACGGATATTTACTTAAAACAATTTTTTATTATATTCTTTAAGATGTTTCAGTACATTTACTAAACATTAACCAACACCTTAAAAAAAGGAAAGACACCTACTGTCAGGTTTACAAAAAGTAACTTATAATAGGATGTCTGCCCTCATAAAAAAATATTTCCTTTCAAAGAAATTTTGCTTTTATGTTAATAAATCTATAAAAAAGATATTATCTACACACTTACTTCCCAGCAATTTCACACCTTCTTTACTAATGTTCAACTTCATTAAGTTTTTGTTCACTTGTTCATCAATCACAGATGTTAGCCGAGCAAGATGTCCAGTAATCTGCGGCATTAACTTAGGTGCTTGGTTTAAAGTCGACATAGCAACATTAGCTTCTTCCAGTGTGACTCCTGCTTTGGCTAAAATTCCATTTATCCCCAAGTCTCCAAACTGAAAACAATATATAAGACATTGGATATGCTCAATGATCAGGTAACACATGCAATTTTGTTCAAGCAAGGAAAGATATTATTAAATATCGGCTACAAATACTCTGAAAATTGAATTTTTGTTTAACCTATTAAAAAAAATTAACATAGCAAATGTCTGAGCTTAGCAGCTTTTAGGTAAAAATAAGAGAGAATTTTACTAGCATCCTGTATACTACTAAGCTAAGTTATTAAAAAAAAAAGTTTTATTTGTATATATTTCTTTACAGCTGTTGTTGCATTCAAGTTATTAGGATAAAGAATACTAACTTTATTAATGTGTACTGCATGAAATACCTTATCCGGCAAATATGATGAAATACAAAACCTGAATCTTTCTATCTTTTATAACTACAATTAATAAAGAGTAGAAAGCTCAGATATCACAATGAAATGTTAAGGTGCAATTCAAACTCATTCAGTTTTAGATATATATAAATAATAGAAAGATTTTGTGATCAATCTTTCTAAAAGAAACCTGAATAAAAACATCTCACAGACAGACATTACACCATATAAATTAACTAAAAAGAAGCCTAATAAGAGTTTGAATACCTTTGCCTTTAATAATACAGCTTAAAAACTTGTCATTCTTATACACAAAAATAGTTATAATATGCTTAAATCTTAAAATGCTTTGTTAATTACAAAAAATATTTAACTAATCTTACATTTTTTGTACCACATTAAAGTAAGAATCCAATTATGAAATAAACTTAAGTTAAAAGTACAATTATCAGTCTCTTACACATTTTAGCAAGTTGTAGCATTAAAAATATAAAATTCATAAATGATAATCTACATGACTTTGACAATAATTAGGCATCATAAGTCTTCTAATTTGTGGCACCCCTGGTTGCCAATCCAAATTTTCCTCTGACAAGTTTTTATTTTTATGGATTACAACTTCAAGAATCAATAGAAAAAATAGATTTAAGAGATTAAAATTAACACACATATATGCTCACTTAGCTTTCTAGCTAATTTCTTTTTTAATTAACAATTTCTGGTTTTCATCAACTTAAGATAAAATGTTTTACAGTCAACATACATTTTTCACCAGCTTCATTAATGCCAGCTCCCGTACAAGAGTAGAACTAGCCTTAAGTGCTTTATCAGCAGACACTCTGCATAAAGAGGTAGAGATAGCCTCTAATGTCACACTTGTATCTTGAACTGTTAATACCTTCCCTAACTTGTTTGGATCACATAAAACATCAAAAATTGATAGATCTGAATTTTTTGAAGACAGTATCTGGAAAGAAAAATAATATTTATAACAATGATCAACTGAAAAAGTATTTATTTCACATAAGAATTATAAAAAGATATTTGATAAAGTTTATTTTTGAAAGCCATTTTTTTAATGTTAATAATTAGAAATAAAGAAATTTAATAAGAAAAAAAATCAAGCTTATAAGTGTCTTATACAAAAGTTATGATCAATACATTTTTAAACCTCCAATATGTGGATAATCTCATGTTACAACCAAAATCCATACTCTCCCAACTGATAATTATCATTCTTGCAGAATATAAATATTTTATCTGTATACAGATATTTGTCAATATATATATAATTTATATTTATATATAATTATAAAGATCTTAAATCTAGGTACAAATGTAAATATATTGAGTAAAAAGAAAAACAAATTTCCACTAAACATATGGTCTTGAAAAAGCAGTAACAGGGAAAAGTAGCTACAAAAACTTACCAAACTCAGATCCAGTGTTCCATTCATCAGCTCACTACTAAGTTTGTTATTAATCCCCAAATTTGATGTCAAAAATTCTTTCACGTTATCTGGGTTTTTGAATAGTTTTGAAATTTTATCTAACAATGAAAAAAAATCTAATGTTAATAAGCTCTGAAACCACATAAGCACCACATTAATTTTGGAATTATTCAGCTTTGTATATAATGTAGAAAAAAAAAATTGTTCTTCAACCACAAAAATAATCATTATGTTAAAACTGAAATTTTATTATCAAAGAGTGTGTCTAATTTCAAAATCACCACCAGACACAGTTGACACATGAAAGTCTATTTTGAAAGATAATAAGATGAAATTAAACTATTAAAACAGAAGACAGGATGCTTAATGTTAGAAAAGAAGTAACAATTTCAATATCAAACCACAACATCAAACAAGTAGAAAAATACTGAGACAACAAACTGGAATAAAAGTAAATTTATTATAATGTTCAAAAAAAAAAGTTCAATCTTTCAGTTCTTTTTTCATTAAATGTACTGTATGACCTACAATAAAATGTGTATTTAAAATAGTACAACATGTACCAGAATCATCATATAAATCTAATCTGTTTTAAAAAATTATAGAAGTTACAAAAAACTCAAATGAATAATAAGAGCAACAATTAACATTGGAAGTAACTACTAAATCGTCCAAAAGAGCCAGAAACACACCACCAAATTAAAAAGAAAATGGTCTCTTACAATGGAATCCAAATAGGTTTTGTTGCTGTAAGGACTTCAGACCTTGAAGACCCTCTATTATAGCCCTAAGATCATCCAAAATTGGGCTGCCTTCTAAAATAGGTTGAAGATCATTCACCAAAAGTGTAAGGCTAAGAAAAAACAAATTACCTGGTGAATTTAATTTTCTTTTCAACAATAGATTTATAATTCAGTACTTTAATGTCTCTATTGTTATTATTATAATTATTAACTAATTTTTTTTTTTAATTAC